ACCCTGTACAGGGTCCTCCACCTCCTCCAAAGCCGACTCAGAGGGCCCCTCGCTGCCGGAGTCTGGTGGCAGCTCCAATGGCACCAGCTGGGCCACAACACTATACCATTACAATCTTTGCAGCATCTCAGTGATCACACAATCAAAATTCAGATGCTCGGTAAGTGGTTCGCATTTATGATGGCTGCAATGTCCCAAGGTCATGTGATCCCCTTTTGTGACCACCTGACCACCAAAGTCAATGGGGAATCCAGATTCACTTAACTACTGTCATACTAGTTTAATAAGTGAAATGATTCACTTATAGGGGCGGGAAAAGTCATAAAGTGGGGTGAACTCACTTAACAAATGTTTCACTTAGCGACCTACATTTTGGGCTCAGTTGTGGTCGTAACTTGAGGAGTACCTGTATACTAATCCAGGAATAATTATTGGGGTTTGGTTTAGTTTTTGATTTATTTTTTGTTGTTGTCAGCTAATCAAATGAATTGCCCACTTTCTTTCCAACTGCCCTTCTGCTTTTCCTAGTTCTTCTTGGATTCTTCTTCCACTCTTCCCAAAACCTGCTTCTCTCTACGGCAGCCTCTCTCTCTCTCCAAGCAACCCACTTTACCCCTCTCTTCTTGCTTTAGCAGAACAAAGCTGGCTAGTAGAGGTAAGCTTAGATTAGGACTTCCCCATCATGGAGCCAAACTACATGGGTTGGTAAAGGCAAACGCTTCCCCTGTCTAGTCGTGTCCGATTCTGGGGGCAGCTGCTCATATCCATTTCTTAGCCAAGGGAGCCAGCGTAGTCCAAAGAAGCTTCTGTGGTCATGTGACCAGTATGACTGTATGCCAAGGTGAATGCTGTTATCTTCCCACCAAAGTGGTACCTGTTGTGGCCCACCAGCAGCCAGTGGAGCTGGCAGCAGATTCAGACAGTGAGGAGGTTGGGGAGGAACATGGGCCAGTCCTGGAGTCTGGGGAAAGGTCTGATGAGGGCTCTGTGTCAGAGGCAGAGAGGGGGCCTGGGCCGTCTGACAGTTATCAGAGTCAGAGATCAGTGGGGCAGACGAACAGCTGGAGCCTGTTCCCAGTGTGCGGATGCAGAATTGCCAAACGAAGGAAACAGCTAAAGAACAGGGGTTGACTTGGGAGCAAGGCCACAGGTGGATGGTGAATGGCCCCTCCCAGACGGAATGAAAGAGGAGCGAAAAGGGAGTGGAGTTTGCAGGAGACAATTAGTTCATTCCTGCATTCTTGCCAAGTATTGTGGCGTCTG